AAATAATTTTTCCTATGTTATTCTTATGGAAAATCGAAGAGTGCGATGCGGAGCATCTTAATTTTGAAATTAAGAGCTCATTTTTTCACAGGCTCATTTTTATATCTATACGAAACTTTTGAGCGTGGTTCCGAGAAAAAAAACAAAAAAAAAGGTTTTTTTGAAACACTCTAATTAGTATATTAGTGACTATTTAAATGTACTCACTAACATGTTTTTTTCAAAATTTGTTATATTTTCGTTCATATCAACAAAACATTTAAAGTTATAAAGAACAATTTGTAGGAAATTAAATTTCCTACAAAAATACCCCGGATTTTCTGAGGTGCGTAGTCCAAAAGGTATAAACAGTTTAATGCATTAAAATCTAAAAAAATATGAAATTTTTATTGTATGACTTTTCAACTTACCTACGCTTTTTTTTAACAAAATTAACCTCATTCAACTTTTTTTTAGAAAAAAATCGGTATTATGTAAGTGTAAAAATAACAATATAAAATCAAAATAAAAAATATTCTTACCGCTATAAGCATTCCTTGGTGTTTGTGGTCTTTCAGGAAAACTGATATCTGATGGTGCAAACAAACCAGATAGAGTGCAAGAATGAAGTGCATGAAACAATAAACATAAGTATAGGTAGGTAAATTATAAAATAATTGTTCATTGACAAAAAGTGCTTAGGAACTTAATAATTTATCCCAAATATTTTTGTTAATAAATTTATACCTAACATATCGTATCACCACTTTAGAGAAGATAAATTAATATAAATGTTTTAAAATTTAACTTTTGAAACGTGTATATGGTGTTATAGAAGGATTATATAGTACATCCAACATTGACCTAAAGTTTAGGTCTTAAGGTCTACCAATATCACTGGCCAACAGCAAGACATGAACTTTTCTGGGTAATTAGAGCACGCTAAATTCAAAAATGATCTTTGATTTGCGGTACATATCTGAACGCTTCCATCTTTAATCGGCTAAAGTTTAGACTCTAAACCAATACGAGTCGTTTAATGCGCAAATAAATTGGTTGTGTAATCCAATAAAACAATTTTTTTGTATGTATTGCCTAATAATATATTACTATAAGATATTTTTTGTTTGATCGAAAAGCGTTTAATTCACAGCTCTCTTAAAATGAATTAGTCAAAAATAACTAATTATAAGTCATATTTGAATAACAGTCATAGCGAAAAAGCAGTCACTAATAATTCATATTCTACTGAATGAAATAGTCAAATTAGTATATTCAAATTTAAAAAAGTTTTGACCCAGCCGGGGATTGAACTCAGGTATTTCGCTTGTCAAGCTTTTCAAGCTGTCATAACCAATGTGGCATCAGTCACTCTTATAAAAATCAATTTTATTTGTCAATAAATATTGTTCATAATATTTTAAAGTTGAATATATTATTTGTGTTGCTGTTTTGAGCTAAACTTTTTGCATCTTTTTTGTTTTTATGGGCCATTTAACCATGGAGCCTATATTGGAAGGTGGGGGAATTTTGCGCGGTGGGTAATTTTACGCATAAACAATTCTTCCAGATATGAAGTAAATAATACATTTTTTGAATGTTGCAACCTTGGAAACGTTGCTTTGGGTATACGGGGACTAAAGTGTACCGCAATTAAGCTTGTAGGTTTTAGCTAGTGACCAGTAAACTGTGATACATGTACGTTGATCTAATAAATCCATGTCGTTTCCGCTATGAGTTAAGTTTAAATTTCTGTCCAATCGCTTAATAGTTATTTACGATATAAGTGGGATAAGAGCTTTATTAACGTACGCATGCGAAATTTGCCCAACGAGTGCGTAGCACGAGTTGGGCAATCGCAAAAGTACGTTAATAAAGCGTTATCACACGTATATTGTACAAATTTTTATCTACGCCTCTAAATGAAAAAATAAACGGTAATTATTTTTGTCTAAGACTTAATTTAGGGTTATTTTGACATTTTGACATTTTGACTTTTTTATTTGATTGGTTAAAAGCAGAGAAAAACGCGTGCGTTAATGAACTTCTTATCTCACTCAAAATGAGTGGGATAAAAAGTTCTTATCTCACTGGGGTAGATAAATGTTTATAACACAACTACTTATGATCTTTCCTCGTAATCTGGTGTTTAAATTGTTCAGGTTTTGGAAAGTTTTTTAGTATCACAATATTTTTCTTGCAATGGGGGTAATTTTACGCTGAAAAATTGGGGTAATTTTGCGCTGCAAAATTTGGCCAATATGGGAGCTTTGGTACAGGAGCCTAGATTGTTCAGTATAAACAGTTCCATTTGGGCACACGCGGAGTGTAGCTAAACAAACAACCCCTAAAACTACATATGTGACAACTGCTGCCTGTAGACCCTCTAATTTCTATGAACAAAAATTTTATTTTTAGTTATTTATTTTTGATTTTGTTTGTTTCATAGAGAAAATAGTTTTGTTTTATTTTTATGTTTTAATATAATAATATTATAGAAATAAACGGTTTATTTAGATACTTACAAATCTTTCTCTATATAGCGCAAAATTTTCCCCCTATGATGCGCAAAATTACCCTGATAGGTGGGTAATTTTGAGCAAATGCATTATTTTAAAAAAATGTAGTTTTTGCATACCAAACAAGTTTTTTTATAAATTATATACACATAGTAAACATAGTAGACTATCGCTGGTATTAATTGCAAAATTTTACATTTAAACTTAACAAAGATACTAGAGATTTTGCTTAGATGCGCAGAATTCCCCCACCTTCCCCTATGCATTTAATTCAAATAATACTTTGTTATTGGTCGCGATTAAAGAAATTAGTTACTTTTAACTCTCACAAATAGTCAAAGATGGTGACTAATCTTAAATTAGTCAAACTATTTACGTAGTAAAAAATAACTATTTAAAGGGGGAAAACGACTATTTTATTAGTAAAAAATGCTGGTACCAATTCAAAAAGTAGATTTTTGAGGATTTCATTTTAAGAGAGAGGATTAAAAATTATATATTTTTCAAAAAAATTTTATGCTTTACAAAAAAGGTAAAATCAAAGATTAACGTAAGCTTAGCCGTTTTTATGGTAAAAAGACTGATTCATAGACCTTTTAAAAATCATTTTATCATTTAGTTCTAAATGCGATAAAATTAATTTAAAACAATTAAATTTCCAACATTAAATTAACTATCTATGTTTGTATTAAAATTGGTAGAATATTAATCAGAAATTTTTAAAAATTTATATTTATTAATAATTTTAATAGATCTTTAGTGAAAACGACGTATTCCCTAGACTCATATGTTCACGACCCCCTCAAAACAAATTTATTAGTAAAAAATTAAAATCCAAATATTATTAAATTATTTATATAATACTTAATACGTATATATCGTACGTGAGCCCCCCCAAAATTAAATTTCTGGATCCGCCGCCCTGGCCCGGTCTATAATGTACAATATTGTTGCAAATATTGGACATTTAATTTTTAATAATTAATTTTATTGCATTTAAAAGTACATTTAAATGGTACAATGATTTTAAACAGCCCAATTTTATAGTCTTGATACCATCGAAACGGTCCGACTAACGTAAATCTTTGATTAGATCTTTTTTTAATAATTAATTTTATTGCATTTAAAAGTGCATTTAAATGGTACAATGATTTTAAACAGCCCAATTTTATAGTCTTGATACCATCGAAACGGTCCGACTAACGTAAATCTTTGATTAGATCTTTTTTTAGAGAGTAAAATTTTATTGAAAAATATGCGAGTCTTAGTTAATCTGGCGAATAAATTAATTAATTTAATTTTAAGTTTGATTTAAAAAATACATGTTTTTGGTATTGGAAACTTCTTTCGTGTGGGGGGTGGTCGGGTTAATATTAATATTTAAGGTTGAAACTTGGACGTAACTTTTTTGATTATCCTACTTTTTTATTTTTCGGATTACCCTACATTCCGACTAGCATTGGTTAGACCTAGCTTTGACCGGTACTTATAAGATAAAAGCGTTATTAACTTCAAATTTTAACCGACGAGCCTGGGTAACCCTCACTTCCTCGTAAACCGTTTTTTACAATTTCGCGAAAACAAGAGCAAAATGGTGGTGGTTTTTTTAATTTAACGCACCCAAATCACCCGAAACAAGTTGTTAGACTACGTTTTTTTCTGTTTAAATAAATTTATAAATACCAAGAAAAGTTTTAACAAAAATTAGAGCCTTAAAACGTATTTGGGTGGTTTTCAAATTTCGCGCAGATAAAAAAAGTTTTATGTGAAATAAAAAACAAGAAAGATACTTAAACATTACTTTGTTCTATGTACGGGTAAATCTAAATTTAGTGGGTCATAGTATAAAAGAAAACAACTCTGTCACCATTATACTTTACCTTATATTAAAAAAAATATTTTGGTAATATTAATTACGGTCCTATATTAACAATCACTAAATTAAACTCTTAAAAAATTAATTAATTATGTTACTTTTTAAATATGGCAATACTTAAATTTTATCTAAATTCTTAAAACATTTTTGTACTAACATATAACTATTTATAAAAAGTTAAGGATTTATTATATTTAAGGATTATTAAGGATTTTATGTTTAACAAATTGACCCATTGTAAAATAATTTTCTCAAAACCTTTATTATATTTAAGTTAAATTTATAGATAATTCCATGAATGACCACAATGTTAGTTTTCAAAAAGTGGGAAAAATCGAAACTAGATCTTTATTTTTTATAATGAATGTTTACTAATGCGATTTATTTATATTTTATGTACAATTTTTTAGAGATTTTGACGTTATTAATATTAACAAAAATGCTTGAGGGACAAGATAATCTGCGCAAAATTTAAAAAGGACCCGTTTGCATTAATTCAAAAAAAGTATTTTTTTTTGTAAGAAACAATAAATTTGTGGATAAATTATCCCCCTGCCTTTTATCCACAGATTCTATCTAAGATTCTGTTATTATAAACTTTTGGAGGTAATAGTGTTTAAATTATTCTAACCTGTATCAGTGGTTTGGAACGTGAACGCCTCAGATACGGGGCTCCATCCGAATTTGTTGCGGGCCTGCACTTTAGCTTCGTAGTTCTGGTTGGCTTCGAGGCCCCGTATCACGTAGCTCATGGACTGTACCCCGGTGGATTGAGTCTGCGTAGCCGGCAAGATAACATCTCTCCAGTCTGTTCGTCGAACAAATCCATAGGAAACACTGTGCCCTGCTGCTGCATAAGTTTTGTTCTCCTAAAAGAAATATTAATGAATTAAATTAAGTTTAAATATAACAATTTAAATGTACAAAGGTCTACAAGATTTTTAAACATTTTATGCATAAACAAGAACGTTTTTGACGTGCTGAATCAAAATTGATCCATCACATTAGTTTTGGAGAAATTCTTACCCAAAACGTCTTTTCAATTTTTTTGATTTAAGGCTGTACTACATTACTAAGTATTTTGTCACCCAAAACTCTTTACGCCACCAAAAAGTACTACTATTTTTAATTATCCGTTGTTGTATTTATTAAATCAATAGTTAAAATGTATGACTGGGTTAAAATTGAATTTATGGTTTTGATTATAAATTTCAATTAAAAAAAATATTTTTTTGATTTTTATTTTTTTCTAATTTAAGAGTTTTTCAAAAATGTGACGTGATGGAGCCATTTTAATAATTCTTCTTCTTTTAAAACAGTTCATTCTCTCCTTCGAGAGAATTGGTCTCAAGTCAAATAAGCTCTTACTGACCGACAGACATGATTATATAGAACATTCAAGTTCAAATGGTCAGTAAAAAGGTACAAAACATTTCAGAATTAAAGTGTTTGGTTTCTAATTTATTATGATAGTTGTGGTGAATGCAACTTCCACTCGCACCATGACATTATGACATTCGCGTTCAGCTTAACCATCATTTCTAAGGCCACCAATAAGAGCGCAGTGTGCATTTTAATTTACTGTTGTTGTTTTCAATAATTTAATATTAGCGTCTTTTATAAACATAATAGGGTAGTTTTCAAAAAACACCCGCCTTCCGCTTTCCGTAAGTTTGAACTACAATATCTTTGTTAAAAATTATCGGATCTTATTGATTTAAAAACCAAGTGAAAGCCTAACAAGCCCTTAGTAAACTCTTTCCGAAAATGTTTGTATAGATATTTCAGAATAATTTTTTTTTAATTTTGAAACTTGTGAAACACATATTTTCGCATGTCCCATTAGCGTTTTATAAAACTTACATACATGTTTTTTTTAATATTGAATAACCAGATCTGGATCTGCAGAACTTTGTGTTACTTTATAGCAATCCATAACGTCCTTAGTTAATAGAGTAAACAATTTATATATAAATTAATTAATTTTAATCTACTTTTTTTAAATTTGACTCATGTCCCAGATATTTTTTCCGTTGCGTTACATCCGTCGCGTTACCGATAGAATATTAAAAAAAACATATATATGGCAACTTTTTTGATACTCACGTGATTAATAAATGATGTTCGGACGTACACATTACCCAGCTGAATTTATTTATTCAATCAGGATCGGTTGAAACAGGTGTGGGAACGCGAATGTAATAATTGTTTGTCCGCTAACTTATTCAAAAAAAAAAATAAAAATAAAAAGAAGGTAAGAAAAAATACTATTTTTCATGTTTATGTTTATTTTAGGGCACTAAAGCTCATTGAGAGTAATTAATGACTGTAATGTTTTATTATTATTTTTTAAATATGGTTTCACAAACAATGGAATTTAGGGTAACGCAATAGAATTTTTCGACAACAAAGTGGATATTTACCGTCGCTTTTATTAAAAGTAGTTTATGATAAACCAATTTAAAATTATTTGTGATTACAACTCATAATATAGATTACATCCAAGGGAAAATTCCACGCAATATACAATTACTAAAATACACCAGCTTATAGTCAAAGAAAAAGGGTGTCTATAATTTAGAAATCTAAGTTGTTATTCTGCAAGTAAGCACCACTACAATGAATTTTTTTTATGCATTACTCTAAAATCGTACCACCCTATATACTTTATAGGCTGGTACGATTTTTAAAAGTATTTATTAACAACGCATGGTTGCATACATTTTAAAAATGGCAGGAGCAAAAGTTTAAAACAAAGCTTAAAAAAACTTAAGCTCAAAGGCATAAAATGTTTCGGGTAATTTGTATTTTTATTTTACTTTTCAAGAATATATTTTTCGATAAACCAGGCTTATTAAATACGGATGATATTTTCACACCCTAAAGTACAAGGCGTGTTCAGAAAATATCGGGAATTTTCGTTTTTTGAAACACTTATTTATTTATTCGCCTACATTAATGTTGTTGCCTTCAAAATAGTCCTCATTGTATATTATGCACATGTGCCAGCTCTTCTTCCAATACTCGAAACACTTCTAAAACTCGATCTTTGGGATAGCCTTTACTTCATTCAGCGATGCGCTTTTAATGTCATCTATGCTTGCAAAACGACGGCTCTTTAAGGTTCTCTTTATTTTTGGGAATAGGAAAAAGTCAGACAGAGGCATGTCTGGCGAATATGGAGGCTGGGACATCATTACAGTATTGTTTTTGGCCAAAAATTTTGTTCAAAATTTAACAATTTTGTAAAAAATTTTGCTGCGACGCGTTTCATACTCAAAACATTCGAAAAAATTTCATGGGATGAGCCAATCGATATACCAACATGATCAGCGACTTCTCTGATGGTTTATAACCATTTCTTCCACTTTTTCCATGTTTTTATCAGTTGTTAATGTGGTGGCATGTATACCAACATAATAAAGAAAATTTTATGACAACCGGACCCTCCGAACCCGCGAAATTTAACAATTCCCGTTATTTTCTGAACACACCTCGTATAATAAATACTATACGATACTTACTCGTCCAGGCATGAATTTTCTTTGACTCTGGTGATGAAGGGGTTGGGGATGACCATCTTCTCCAGTTCCTGTTTCCGGTATTCTTCTAAAAAGCAATTTGTATTCCTCAATGGGACTCAATGATTCCACTGCCCAGCTTATGTTGTAACTGTCCTTCCAGCTGCCCATGCGAGAGCTGCTGAATTTAACGGGATTCGGTTTTCCTGTTAAAAAAAATAAAAAAAGTGTTTTATGTGGGGATTTTTGTTTGGCTTTCCAATCAATTACTGAAAGCGATCTTTCTCAATTTAAAAATTTAATGGTTCCAAGGAGACCTTCCTTCATAGGTTCTGATGTATGAGCTTAGAAAAACGGTATTAAAATAATTTTCTTTTCCGCTTTGTAGCGCGCTTCTTTCGCAATAAATCTTACCGGTTAATTGGACGCTCTTTCTTGTTTTTCCCAGTTGATTATCTGCAACGCAAGTGTAATTTCCGAAGTCGGTGCGATGTACTTTTCGGATCATGAGTGTGTGTCTGGATCCACGGGATTCCATTATTCGTCGTTCCGTTGTGTCCAATTGCATCGTGTCTCTGTACCAAAGAACCTGAAAAAAACAAAAATAATCCTTTAGTTTAAATTTATTAAATCAACAAAGGAAAAAATATAATGACTATCCCCATTTTTTTTAAAGTAAAAAGTCGGAAAACGCTGGGCGAGGTGTATTTCTAAAAGTAGACTCTTCAAATATATAAATAAATTAACGCAAAATTATGTGTTTTTTATTGTTTTGTAAGGACTTATGGACCCAGCATCGTATATAGTCGACTGGGCTAAAAAAATCAAATATTTTTTTTTGAAAAGTATATCGAAAATATGGTTTGGGGTAATAAAAAAAATTATTGTGAAAGTTTGAGTCCATAATATTAATATTAAGAGGTCTATCATCGCAATTTTAATTTTTTTTTCCTCAGCAAGTTTTTGTCTCAGAACTCCCAAACCATTGAGTTTAACAAAATTGATTTGAAAATATTTTTCTCGATTTTTATGTAAGAATGTCATATTCTCGCACGCAAAATCGTTGAAGAATGAAGCTCATTCTTAAACGATTTTTGGTAACATTTAGTTTTTAAGTATTGGTACCCCCAAAATGTCAAACTGATTAATAACCTCAAATTCATTACTTTTATTGAAAATGAAGCCTTTATTATTGTTTTGTAATATAAAGTTTGCTCCAACAATGCATTTTAATGCAAAATTTTAAGTTTAATGTGTAAAAGTGCAGTTCAGGTTGTACTTGTGCAGGATAACAAATATTGTCATTTTGTGTTGCCAACTGACATTTTGCGAGAAAAATCCCCTAACTAACAACGACCACAAAACAATTAAAAAAACCTAAATAAAAGTTAAAATCGAGAAAATAGTATAAATCACACGTTGCAGAAGGCTGTTCTCGCACTCATTCGTTCGTCCACTCGCTCCTTCGTCGCTCGAGGCCAAATTTCGAATTCGTGCGAGAATATGTGGCCTTCTGCAACTTGTACTTTAATATACTATTCTCGATTTTTATGTAAGAATGTCATATTCTCGCACGCAAAATCGTTGAAGAATGAAGCTCATTCTTAAACGATTTTTGGTAACATTTAGTTTTTAAGTATTGGTACCCCCAAAATGTCAAACTGTTTAATAACCTCAAATTCATTACTTTTAGAATTATTTATAATAGCTTTGTTTGTTATCCTGCACTAGTGCAACCTGAACTACACTTTTATTGAAAATGAAGCCTTTATTATTGTTTTGTAATATTAAGTTTGCTCCAACAATGCATTTTAATGCAAAATTTTAAGTTTAATGTGAAAAAGTGCAGTTCAGGTTGTACTTGTGCAGGATAACAAATATTGTCATTTTGTGTTGCCAACTGACAATTTGCGAGAAAAATCCCCCAACTAACAACGACCACAAAACAATTAAAAAAACCTAAATAAAAGTTAAAATCGAGAAAATAGTATAAATCACACGTTGCAGAAGGCTATTCTCGCATTCATTCGTTCGTCCACTTCGTCGCTCGAGGCCAAATTTCGAATTCGTGCGAGAATATGTGGCCTTCTGCAACTTGTACTTTAATATACTATTTGGAGATAGATTTTGATTTTTTAAATTGGAATTTTGTAATTAATGTAAAAATCAGTACCCATAAAAAACCGATAAATATTATTATGGAAAATCAAATGCTTTACAAAAAAAGCCTCTCAACATTTTTGGCTAAATTCACTCAATCAAAAGTTATTCAAGGTTAAAATTTTGTTTTGACTTCAAATTTAACCTTGAATAACTTTTGTTTGAGTGAATTTAGCGAAAAATGTTAAGAGGCTTTTTTTGTAAAGCATTTGATTTCCCATAAGAATATTCATCATTTTTTTTTGGGTACTGATTTTTACATGAAATACAAAATTCCAAAGTTAAAAGATCAAAATGTAAAACTATAACACTTTTTAAGGCATGATTTTAAGGAAACGGTTCATCTGACAGAAAATTTTGTTTTAACCTTTTTTGTAGAGCATTTAATTTTTTCAAAAAATATTTACAAGTCAATTTTGATAAACTCAATGGTTTGGGAGTTCTGAGACAAAAACTGGCTGAGGAAAAAAAAAATTAAATTGCGATGATAGACCTCTTAATATTAATATTATGGACTCAAACTTTCACAATAATTTTTTTTGTCACCCCAAACCATATTTTCGATATACTTTTCAAAAGAAAAAATATTTGATTTTTTTGGCCCAGTCTACTATATACGATGCTGTGTATTTTTTATTATGGAGCGATTTTCCAAATTTTAACACAAAATTTTAACGAAAATATAAGTTGTGTATGCTATGCAGATTAATTTATAAATGCATTTTTCTCGAAAATGGTGCATCTGAGCGATTCAGATTAAGACTACCTATTTTTCGTAAAAAACTACAAGTTTTCATAATTTCATAAAAAAAAATTAAAATATTATCTCGGAAAAAAGTTGGGGCTATTTTTATAACTAAATTTTAACAGTTTTGATCTTAGATCTTGATTCAGCATCTAAAAATTACCAAAGTGCCAAAATTTGATTTCTTCCTGTTTAACGCTCTAGGAATAGTTTAAAAAAAACTATTCTCTTAGGCTCCTATTCAGGGGGCCGTAGCTCCGTTAGGGGGCATTTTTTTATACATGTTTATTTAACAAAAAAGGGTTACTTTTCTAAGAAGAATGCATTGTTTAAGTTTGGCCCCATAATTTCGGGACACCCTGTGTAGGCTACAAAATTTCCAAAGAACTTTCTGAAATAATTTATTGGAATTTTATAAGTAAATATTTAAATTAATGGTGCTTTAATTTTGTCAATAAGTTTATATATCTGTACCCCAGAGTCAAACTGTATTAAGTCCACTTAAAATCAGATTACACATTTTTTGCCTACGTTTTTACGCTCTTTTCAATGTTAAACAGGATTTAGTCCTTAATAACTTAGTTTTTTATATATCAAAAAACTAAGTAAGCCAGCACAATCTGTATACCATTGAAAACGCAAAAAAAATTAGGCAAAAAAGTTGTATCGTGGTTTCACAGAAAAATATATATTTTTTTTGTTAAAAAAGACAACCCATTTTTTTAACATTTAAATTAAAAATCAAACATTTAAACGACAAAAACAAACAAATTAAATTAAAACAGGGATGCTGTTTGTGTCCAATTAATAATTGGAAATTTTAAAGTTTTGCTCTCATAAATAAAATCCCATATTTTTTTAATTAAAAAATTTGCGTTGGAAAACCATGAATTGATTTTTATGGTGCTTTTAATGAATCAATCATTTGTACTTTATTACAGCTATCACTATAAAATTATGTTTTTGTTACTATCAAAAAGCAAACATCAGTTTCAAATAATATCCATTTAATATAGTACCGCAAATAGATTGGTTTGTACAAACAAATTGAAAATGAACAAAAAAGAACAAAGTATTTTTTATTTAATCAAGCAAAATTGAATAATTTGTAAACAAATTCAATGTTGTTATTTGTATACAATCAAACTAAATATTTGATTTTCTATTATTATTTTAAATCTGTATAACCTATATTTTCAAATTATTATAATTAAATCGGTAAGTAGAAGTCCATGGACAACATTTAAAATGTTGACAAATCATTTTATAAAATCATTTTTATAGTTTTTATAATATGATTATTATATTTTATAAAATAGTTAAAATATTTTTATAAAAATTTTAATTTTAAAGTATACTTTAAGTATATATATAAAAATGATTTTATAAAATAATTTGTAAGCATTTTAAATTTAGTACTTAATCTCGCCGATTTAAATAAAGTACATCTAGTACACCTAAATATGAAATACAAAAATACATTTTAATAAAAAAAATTCTACGAAATGCCTACATGTATTTTTTTCTAAAATGTGATAAACTTTGACCTATTGAAACTTATTTATTTACCTAATTATACTTTTAACAGATAAGTCCACGTGTAGAAATGCATTGCTAAGCATACTATTTTGGTATACATTTGTTGTTTATATCAGAGAGCATAGGTTATCCTATAGGATTAATAAAATTTAAATTATTAATTGTTAGTTAGTTTTGTTTGAAGAACCCACTTAAATGGTAAGAAACTTTTTTGTCTTACTTTTATTTTTAACTACTTATATGTATTTTTTTTAAAGATTTTTCGACACCTTGTTTTATTGGCAGTTTGTCTGTCACTAACCTATAGTCATGGTGTATACAGACAAGTATATGTAACCTCACAGGGAAGGCCATACGAGCAATACCCAAGCAATGTATATATCCCAGCTACCGGTAGAATGCAAGTGACCCAACAAACACAAACGCGAGAAGTAAATTGTTGTTTGCTAAGGAAATGTGTAAACAATAACTGTCAAGAAACCTTTACCTGCGGAGTTGGTTGCCAAGCTTCTCAGCAACCTGCAGAAAGACCTAGACCAGATCCCACTTTTACGCAAGATGAAACCTCCAGGGATTTATATAATTACATAATGACGCATTTTAATACAAATGAATCACCAGTTGATACAGAGTATGTGCATCAACCACAAGGACATCAACAACCTTGCATAGGCAATGCTTGCAGAAATCCCACACAAACACAAAAACCATTTTTGCCTGGACGTTACCCAAGTGGTGGACCAGAATTTGATATTCCTGATTCACAAACGATCCCTGGCATAGTTTTGGGAAAGGAACCAACAACACCGAAATCAACAACAATGAAAGACCGCGAACCAATGACAGAAAAACCTACAAAACAAGAAAATTGCCCAAAAGTTAATACAATCCAATTTCCTGAGGACGAAGAAGATTTTGGCCCAACCCCAGGCTACGACAAAAAAACAGGTTACATATACAACAAATGCGACAAGGGATCTTGTGTACCTATAGAAAAGAGCTGCAAGAAGTGCCCAGATCCATTTGAACCAGACTTTAAGTTATACAACGTCAAAAAAGAGTGTTTTAATTGTTACCAAATACCTTGTGTACCGCCAAAATAGTTACTGAACTAAAATAATTTAAGTTTATATAAATAAATCATATTAAATTAATATAGTGTATTGTTTTAGTGTCATAAAAAGTTTATTGTAATATTATTTTTTATTAAATTAACATATTAAACTATGATTTGGTGTAAAAATAGTATATTATGTATGAAGTTTTATAAACGTAATTTAAGTTACGAGTTTTATCAGGCACGAGCGAAACTTGCGAGCGAGTTTTTAATAAAAACGAGTGTCCAGAGAAGTTTATAAAATGAGTTAAAAATGTTACATCTGTCAACTGTTAACGGATTTAACCTCGCTTTTTCCCAATTTATAAAAAAGTTAACTTCAGCCCGTGACTAAAATTGCCATTGCCAAATAAGGAGAATGCATATCTTAAAAGTAATCTAAAATAATGTTCATATGGTATAGACTATGTCACATTTACCATATTTAGACGACACGGTGTTAGTACTAATTAATTTATTAATATTTTACAGTTGTTTATTAAATAATCTACATAGATCTATTAAACTGTGCATTTAATTTCATTTTATGTAGGAAACATAATTTGCTATAAACGTTTTTTTTATACTTTTAACCTGTAACATTAACCGTTTTCCGCAAAATATAAATAGAACTGTTTGTATTAAAAATATTACTCCAGTGACTTAAATTAAAATTAAGTTTGACATTTCTATCATTTTATCAATTATTGGAAGCCACTTTAACGATTTTAACATATTAAAAATTAAGGTGTATTTGTCACAGTTTAAAATTACCCTCAATGCTTTGTTTTGAAGCAACTGTAACTTATTAACATCTTTTTTTGTTGATGTGATCAATAAAGATAAACAATAGGTGGTTAAAATGTGGGAAAATAATTGTGTTATAAACTAACTTTTTTGTCCAGAGAGATAAGTTTTGAGAAATCCTGTAAAAATATCCAATTTTTTTACCTAACTTTTTCGTTCGTTTAAAACAATTCACCCTATGTACATTAGAGTGCTTTAAAAAATAAAATTAATTTTTTTTTTGCTCCTACCCCCTCAAATGTTTCTATTTAATATAAAAAAATCCTCACCAAATATGGGCGTTCCAGCTCAACTCTAAGAGGTCGCTGTTTTTATTTTAGTTTCCCATTTAATTAACATGGGAAAAAATAATTTTATGTTTGGAATTGTATAGTATACAATGTATACCTCTGTATCAAAGTAACTTATGGCAATGATCATTGCAGTTTCTTATATAAAATGTAACGATCTACAAAAAAGGTTTCTTATTATTTTTCGATAAATTGATTTCTTCTAGAGTTATTCGAGGTCAAAGTTTGATTAACATCAAATTTTCTGTTTTTTTATTTTATGATACAATTAGCAGACAGGAGGTGAAAGGGGGCAAAACAAGGCAGCGGGGGGGGGGGGCAAAATGAGGTACCCAAAAAATGAGCATATGAAAAGTATTTTTTCTCGCCCTACAGGCTCAGAATATTTATTTTCGATTAAAACCGTGAACCTGTGAGTCATTATATGTATTTTCAAATAATTTAGAAACCGAAAAAAACATAAAAAAAAAAAAAAAATTTTACGAAATTTTTTGGGTGCCCCATTTTGCCCCCCGCTGCCTTGTTTTGCCCCCTTTCACCTCCCGTCTGCTAATTGTACCATACAATTAAAATAACCAGAAAATTTGATGTTAATTAAACTTTGACCTCGAATAACTCTAGAAGAAATCAATTTATCGAAAAATAATAAGAAACCTTTTTTGTAGAGCGTTACATTTTATATAAGAAACTGCAATGATCATTGCCATAAGTTACTTTGATACAGAGGTATAAAATTCCAAACATAAAATTATTTTTTCCCATGTTAATTAAATGGGAAACTAAAATAAATTCAGCGACCTCTTAGAGTTGAGCTGGAACTTTTTCATCGCAGACTTGTAAAATTATATTAAATACCTTTTAACTTATATAACACATGACATTTAACACAGTATATCATTATACATGGCTTAATTATTCCAAATTCTAACATAACTGACGGAGCCCTCATGCAGTCGTATACGAATTTAATTACTTAACCGAATGAGCACCTGATTTACAAAACAATAATTTATCCTCTAACCGAGTATTTTATGCGGAAGAAAACTGGTGGCAATGAGAAGTTTAACTTGTCTAGCATGTTATTCAGCTGAAAACCCAGACTGCCAAAATAAAAGCACGGCTTGAGTTAAATCAACAACATTATGACAGAGTGTATTTCAAATCCTAAGTTAATAATAATTCGTGTGCTGAAAACTAAACAAATTGCATTTTGTTTGGGTAATACACGTTTCGGAAGACATTTTATTCCAAAAAAATACTTAATTTTTAATATAAGTGTAAAATAAAAAGTGTGTTTTTATTCACAAAATTTATAATATGGACACCGTTTATTAAGCTTTGTATAAAAAAAATAATTTTAATCTATATAAAATTGCTAACTGCTAAAAAAGATTTTGTAAAATTCCAAATTCAATTATAATTAATCCCGGTGCATTCGCCATTTTTAAAAGTGAAACAGCTGCCGCTAGCTGGTATGAACCTGTCTAAAATTTTAGTTGCAGCTATAGCGTGATGTGTCCTATTTTTCTACTTCCGGTTGACCAAAATTTCTCAAATATAAAATTAAAAACAATCCAAAAATTACTTGTGTTAATATACACGATTCAAATGAGAGTATACATTTTAAACCTTTATTTCAATTTTGAATATTTTCTCATCTACATCAAAAAAATTATATTCAAAATCAAATGAAAGAAAAGAAAAGTTGGGATATGGCTCAAATTATTAATGCAAAATATTTTATCCTAATAGAATTTTTTCGTAAAATCAAGGAAAGCACTTTACCTTCAAAGATTTATTTTCTTCTTAGATTAACTCAGTGACTTAGATCTCTATATTTTGGTAAAAAATCATTTTATGTCAAGCAGGCTAAGACCGCAGAAAATAAAAGCTGTACTAATATATTACACCTATCTCAAAGTCAATCCAGGGACACTGTTTATTATGTGTCCGTTATTTCCCAAGTTGTTTTTATCTTGGGTATTATCTATATTATTTATTTACTTTCAAAAAGCAATTAAAAAAAGATGATGTCGTTTAATCCTGCCTAAATAACATTTTAGTGATACGAATATATTCATAAATCGCTAATTAATAAACATATAACAATAAAGAAGACGAATTTTTGTAGCACATTTTTGCTTCATAAAAAATGAAATATAACGATTTTTTTCATAAAAAATATATTCTTTTTTCTGAATTTAGAACGTTGGCTTTAGTTTGTCTTTTTTTTATTTGGGTATTATCTTAATTATTTTTTTTAACAATAAAAAAAATGATTCCGATGTCGTTAAACCCTGACTAAATGATACCTACTTTAAATTTTCATTTTTATGGTTTTTAACATAATAAAACTTCATCTCGCTTATTTAGGGACATGTTACAAAAGGTCCTTTACGTTTTTTCGTAAAACCATCTATTTAAATGATATTGGAGGTCAGTTTAAAATATATAAAATAATTAAAAATTATAACCTTAAAATCTTTGTACATTTTGATAAAAAGATAACATTAAGAATAAACAAGGAAGAGTTTCAATACTCGATAACACGTTCAAATGTCGCACCCGTTACATTCTGAGAAAATTTGAGAAAATAAAGTATACAATATTTGTGCATTTAAAATACGTGCTTGTTTAAGGTGACTATTTAAGTTTTACACTTAAAATTATTACTATATGCTTTCATCCAAAATTTTACATTATCAACTTTAGAAGCCAACTTGGTCGCATTTGCCGATTTTCTAAGGTCGCGCCACTTACGCGTTTCATGACGTTATAATAGTTATTTATGTCATTAGGTTAAGAAGTAAGGCTTTTTGTGCTAAGCTCAAGGTTTGAAGGCCGACGCGTAGCGGAGGCCTACAATTGAGCGAAGCACAAAAAGGCACTTCTTGGCCGAATGGCATACAACATTTTGTCTTCAAAGCACTTTATATAGGTCAATTTAATTCAACATCAAAGCGACTTAACCTCACTTTTTTAGAATCTCATTTATTTATTTGCTAAAGATTACATTAAATGTACAATAATTAGTATTGCTTTTAGAAGCAGTAATAGTTTGACAATACCTAGCAACATGATTTAAGTAGAAATGGATTTTTGTTATTACATTGAGTTCAATTAATTGTTTAATAAATTTTCAATTTGTTTTGATTTTTATTTAAAAAATAGGTAGTTTGGAATGTTTAAGCTGTGTTTAACATTTAATTTCACTGAAAACTTAAAGCAAATGAAAACTTAAAGATAATTTAAATCGTATAAATAGAATCGTGCGTTTTCTTGGTTGCCTAACCTCACTTTTTGTTTTATTATTGATATTTAATTTTACAATAATTTAATGAAAAATATTAAACATTAACAGTAAAACAAACAAATTAGTGCTTATTATAAATAAATTAAACCAGTTTAGTACGTTAATTTCTTAGAAAAGGATTAATTTGTCAAAACAATACCCCTGGCGAGAAAAAATCGAACTAATTACTTGCCTCATAAAAAATTTTATCGGCCTAGGCCATAACAAGGTATTTCTTTATCGAATGTTGACAACAATAAAATTTAAATTATAGACCGCGTGGAGATACAAGTTTTTATTGACATTTTGTTTGAGTTAAATATCTAATGTTTTATACTATTTTTGTATATTAATGTATCTTGATATATTTGAACAAACACTTTATTATCATGAAAAAACGCAATGTCAGTGTCGCATCCGTTACAATGGAAATACCCCAAAGTAAAAAAGCCACTTATAAAAAAAATGATGACAATACTTTTTATTTTGATTTATTTTAAATGTTGACTTTCGATATCATTTAAATCGATGATTTTACGAAAAAAACCTAAAAGATTATTTTAGGAGTGAGTTATAAAGTTTGTAAGTTATAATTTTTTTTCAAGTCATTAAAATGTCATTTAGGACGACTTAAACATATTTTTGTAAATTGTTTATAGACTGTAAAAAAATAATTTAGATGATATCCAAGTAAAAAAATAATAGCTTGGGAAACAACAGACAGGGCCGTGCCGTGATAT